TTAGAAGCCTGAATTCATCGTTTCAATAGCCAAAGAGTTATTCACTCAGCTACAGAGTCATCTGCCATGCAACGAGTATCACTTATTAATTGTTTTTAAGTTAGCGTACATTTCCCACCGATTGATTACGTCTCAGTAGGCACACCATCACTTACTTAGGCTGCATGTACATCCAGTAGAGGAGTCCCAAATAACACGCAGTATGTATCCTACATTCCACTGCTAATCAGCATCAATCAAAATAACACCGTGTTAATCTTCAAACCTTGTTAAAGTTTCAATACTAGGAGCCGACAGGTCAAAAGGCGACCGAGCATTTCGGTTCCAACGTGATCAATCAACAAAAAAATACAAGTCAAACAAAAAGTAGTCACTTGAGTTATCTTTAAATAAGCTATCTATCATAATATATTGAAAATAGAATTTAAAACAAGCAGGAGTACTGTCCATCATTCAGCTTTCTGTTCTGCAATCTAGACCATTTCTAATGAGGCTGCTGGCCTACTACACTTGGTGCAACTTGTCTTCATATAATTCCTTGAGAATTGCAAACTCTCAAGCCTAATTTTAGTCACATCTGTGTAGATTTTAAATGATAATTTAGAGTATTCAGATTTGAGCGAAGCCCTCTACTGTAATTTGATCGTTTTCCTGGTAAGTTACTCCGTCCTCGGGAATTCTCAGTATCTGAAACTGTCACTTATACTTGTCTGTTGAACACTTATTATTATAAATAAAAAAAATAAAAATAGCCAACCACACACCTTGTCTCCAATTCAATCTTTGGCTGATGCACTCCTAAACTTACCTCACTTAGCTGCTAGTAAAGAAAGGTTGGGCGTGAAACTAGCAACTCCGCGTCATAACTTCAGAGGTAAAGCTTGAAGCTATATACTTCACTCGGAATGCAGAGGAATAAAATAAATAAAATGTGCGTCGGTGGCACAGTGGTTAGGACTCTCGCCGACCATGCGCATGGTCCGAGGTTCGAGCCCCTGCCGGCGCACACCCGATATCTATGGTCGGCCTGCAAAATTTGGGCTACCGATATCCATGCTGAAAATGCCATACTTGTACTGAAAATACGGTGTGGCATCAAGCTGTAACCAAAATAAAAAAAATAAAAAAAAATAAAATAATTAAAAGATTAATATAATACACTGTGAAAACATTATCAAGTATTGGTTTTGTAGAGATTTTGTTTGATTGCATGGAGGGTTTCATCATGAACTGACATGAAAATTAATCTGATGCTTACTAGCGACTGGTCCTATTCAGGCAGTTAACCTGGGGTTCTAGTGGGAAGCCGTAAACCAGTAGGGTATAGCAGGTTGCAGATGGGGCAGTAACTCATCGAAGAAGACATTGCGAAATGGTCGCGCTATGTCGTGAATTGACAGAAGTTAGAATTAAATGACCATTGGATCGCATCCCAGTGGCTCAACGGTCTACGAGCTCGCCTTGTAACCAGGTCCTGGGCTCAAACCCCAGTGGGGTGGGTGCGTACTGATGAAGAGTCCCAAACTAGGATGAAATAGCTGTCTAGTAATCCCAGGTTTTCCAATGGTTCTCTAACCAATGTCAGCTCATGATGAAATCCTGTTACCAATCAATCAAAATTCCTACAAATCAATACTTGAAAATTGCGAAATTGACTTTGACATTTTCGCAGCTGACATGACACTCCACAATAGTTTCAGAAATAAGAGAGGTAAGTAATGCAATGTATAAGAAGAAGAAAGTAAGCAAACTGTGCAGTAGTCTCATCTTATCATCAGGCGATGACTAAAAATTGAATAAAAACAGGATTTCCAACTGTCGTCCTTTGTATCACTATTTCATTCCTCTATTGACTGATGCCCAATCACTGACCTCAGTCACTAAAATCTTACCTAGTAATTAATTGTATGCATGACTCGTATGCAAGACTGTTTTGTTTATTATCACCATGTGAGCTAATCAGCCAGATCTTTTCCATTTCGGTTGAATTACACACGCGAAATCAGCTGACATGGAAGTGGATTGTATATAAAGGTCGTTGTGATTATCGCGTAAGTGTGTCGATTAACACCTCTAAATTTAAAATAATCATCATATTACTGACAAGACGGAATAAAGTAGGCTTATCACGCTGTTAATTTTAACCTATTTAGAATCATATTTATATATATATTCTTACTGTTTGTACTACAGACATTTCATTCAAAGTTTAAAATCACTGATAAAAAAGGAAACAGTCGCAGATTTTAAAAAATTTTACAAACTGCTTAATAATGATAAATCATCGGATTAGAAAAAAGCCGAAATGAACCTGACAAGTTTAAGAAGAGGAAATGAAAGATGAGATTTAATTTAAATCATAAGTATGCATAAGACATCTCAGTTAAAGCCTCAAACTGCGTAATGGGTTATGTTATATATGTATATAAGTATGTACATAAAAGTTTAAGAAAAATCTGTTATTTCTAACTATTTCGCATAGCAATTTACTTCATGTTATTTTCATGTTTGAAATATGGCACATTGTCGTCAGCATATGACGTAGTCGAAGAAAACAACAAAGCTCAAATTACAACCGTTTTGCAATTGTTAAAGGTAATAAGTGTGTGTGTTAGGGAAAGACTGATACACAGGTGTAGGTAGACACAGGTAGATAAACAGGCGTTCCAATCTCTTACGTGAAAAAGAATCAAGAAATATTTTTAGGAATAAGCAGAAAAAAATTATGAAAAAAAAACAATAAATAAAATTCATACAGTTGAAAGTTTGATAAATTTGTATTATCTCAATGGATAGACATGCTATTTTAGTTGGACGTGACAAGTAGAACATAAGTGAATTCCTGATTTTTTTCACTTAACCATTTGGTTTTGCCTAGAATAGTATTCTAATATCATTATTATTGTTCATTTGAGTCTCCGGTAGAAGTAACGGCTTCAATAGCACGTCTCTATTTCATTGTACTCTCTGAAAAAATCCTTAACCGGCTCCACGACTACCCTTAGTTTCTCATCTCCTTCCAGCGACCAACTCATCACTTCCCGTTAGACTTGCAACCGAGAACCTGGTGCGAGATATCACTAAACGACCTCATCAGTGTAGTCCAATCAACCCCCATTTTCTTCTCCATATTTGTTGGGCAGCCTGATTCTTGTTTTCAGTTCGTTGACTGCCAAAGTTCCATTGTGACTATTCCTTTTTTGACTATCTGATCTTCAGAATGAAGCCAGCGAACGCAGCTGCTGACGATAGTCCAAAGGATTTTGGAAATGCTTTCCATAACGCGCTTGACAAGTTACCGAACCGCAGAAGAACTGACTTGACATTATTTTTGACTTCTGTATCATATTCTTTCTGTTGATTACAGTAGATTTCCAAGTTGATTTCAGATTATTGAAGGTGTATCTTGCCTTTCCGTCCCTGACTAGCTTTGCCATCCTTATCCGTGCCGTCTGCAGTTGAGATGATACTGACTAGATAAATAGAGGGATTAATCTCTCCATAATTCCTGTCTCTGATTATTATTGGTGCAGGTTGTTATTATTGTTGTTGATTGGTTATCTTCATCACCTCCATCTTCCCTATGTTCACCTGGAATCCTGTCTTTGCCACCAGCCTCTTCTGACAATTTGTGTGTTTTTGCCCATAAGTCTAATAGTTTGTGATATAAGACATAAGTCTTCGGCGAAATTCAGATATTCCATAGTTCTATCAGTCCAATTTATTCCCCTCTTCTCGCTTTCTATAGTATCATGTATGTGTCGGCCCATCACAGTTGGTAATATCCCCGGATCCTTGTCTTGTTCCTACCCTCATTTGGAAGGTATCGACGGGTTCTTGGTTGTGAATTCCTTGACACATGGCATCATCTCCACACAGCTGTTGAACGAGGTTGATAAAGATTTGATGTACTACACTCCATAGTATTGAAGTAGTTTACAAATTATTTCACACTCAATGCTGTCGAGGGTTTTTTCAAAGTCAGTGAAAATGAAGTGGAGATTTAAGTATAAAACTTGGGCAGTGTGGTAGAGCATAACTCTTGTCCATAGTGAAGTGGAGATTTGACTGCCCGCCTATGGTCTGTTCAACGATGATGCTTGGCGCTGCGCTTTGATCCGTACATGATTCACTTTTCCTCAATCCAGCTTATTCCAGGGGAATTTTTGCGTCCAGTGCATCTTCTATTCTCTCCAGGATGACACGACTTAGTGTTTTGCTCAGCATGGATAGAAGTATGATTCCGTGACAGTTCTTGCAGAGGGTTAAATCGCCCTTCTTTGTTAATTTGCCAGGGTAGTCTTTTTTTCAATCATCAAGTATCCTCCCTTCCTTCCCAAACTTTTTCGGTGGTAACGTGAGGATATCCACTAAGATTTCATAATACATTTTCAGTGCTTCCGTCTGCTCCTGCTGCTTTCCTCTCTGGCTTTCAGTGATTCTGTGGCACTTAAGAATCCTGCTTTTGCTGTAAAACTTTTGTTCACTGACGGTTCTGAGGATTTTGGGTGTATTCTTGGCGTGTACTCTACTGACCCACAACAATGTATCCCACACCAGACTTTATAATTCATTCGGTAGAAAGCCTCTCTAGACCTAGATTTCATGCAGACCGACAGTAGTTTGCATCTGCATACACCAGAAAAGTTACATTCTCTTCAAATGAGTAGCAGAAAGGCGACATACATACTAATTAAAGGAGGCGTCAATCGACTGATAACTTTTTCACATTGATTTCCCTTTAACATAGTATTATCTCACATGACAGGTGAGCGACATTAAAAGTCAATAAATACGTTTCAGTTAACACAATTAGAGTTAGGCGACAATATCTTTTGGCTGCAAATCGTAAAATAGTCAGTATGTATACTTCAGACATTTATCCCTAATTTTTGTAAATAATGATTGAAAACTTATCAACTGAAAATTTTATTCAATGAAGTGAAACAACAATGTTATCACCATCCATCATACGAATCTTTTCTTACTTTATGTTGCAGGAAGTTCCATAAGTGCTTTTATCGAAAGTAAACAATGCAGTGATAACGTGAGTTATTAATTAATCTGTTTTCTATATTTACTCAGTATTTTTTTCCAAATATTTGAAGAAAAAATAACATTAATAATGCTGACAATATTTACATTTGGCCTAAATGCTTTATCGTGAAAATCAAATTCAGTTTTTGAAGAGTTCACTTCAGCCAAACAAGCAAAATAAACTAAACTATTTTTAGAATAACCAGAGGAAAATGCACTTTTTCCCACCGCATACTAAATCACAGTTCATCTGAGTCAGACGTTTTATGCAATGTGCATATTGTTATTTGTTAAGATAAAATTCTATATTATAGGCTCTATTATTTTGCAAAGTATTACAAACTACTTGTAAGTAGGTAGAAACGTTTTGCTTAATTTTGTTCCTGGGGTGCAGTAGAACTACCAGCAGTAAAATCAATGTCTGTTAATCATTACTTGTGATTCTCTTTAGATCACTTCAGTCCGGCTAGCAAGCACTACTAGCGTGTGTGAGTAGTATCCAACTACTCATATAGCATCATTTTGTATTGTTACATCAATTTCTCAGCTGAACAACTTACAGCAGCTTTTATCCACAATTTGATAGGCAAAATGCATCACTTAAATATCAGAAAAAGTCATACTAGTTTGACTGCCATGGTTATGAATAATATTGAGTGACAGCTTCAGTTGTTGGGATATATAACTGTGTAACCTAATGAAGAAGTTACCAAAGAGAATATTCTCTGTTCAATAATCAGTCTTTTGTTATTTTAATAAAGTTAAATTCTGTACCGAATAGAAAGCATTTAAATAAATACTTGGAGTTTAAAAGTACTGAAAAGCCGTCAGACTGTAGTCTGTAACGTTTCCATCTACTCTTCTAGATGAAATTTCTGGCATAATAGGGATTCTCAGCTGATGACATTTACTGATTTTGGTGTAAATACAGTCAGTTACTCACTAGTATAGTATTGAATGGTATCGCATCATTATAACTGTGGTTAGCAGAATCTGAAAATCTTCGCTTACAAGACTGCCACATATCCAGACCAGTTTTCGTCTCTAAATGGACTTTACTTTTCATTATTCAGTTCCATGCATAGTATTGGAGTCGCCAACAACTGGGTAATCTCCAATCAGCTATCAGAAGTGTACGTTTCTGCTGGAAGTTATGTGATTACAGAGATAAATTTTAATCTGTAGAACGAAGAATTTCCCTAGATTGGGAAAATTTATTAACAAGTGGTATAAAGCACTGGTTTCATGGTGGCTGGTAGTAAGTAGGGTCCAGAAATCCCATCTAATCACATATAAGATGAGCTTCCGTATTCCAAATCCTGTTGGAAATGCATTACTGCATGTCAGATGGTAGTCAGATGGTGAATAATTTACGCACATAGTCTTGAGTGTGTTCAACAAACTTCCTCGATTCAGTGCTCCATCTGGTCATTTGATTAAATGATGGGGTAGGCTTGTTAGTATTAACGACGTGAGTCCCATATCAGGTGCTAGGAGGTCCTGGATCAAGTTATCATATTCTTTGGTACTTCCCAGTAAAACACATGATGTTATGCATACATCCTGGATATATAAAAGTCACAGGAAGGAAATAATCAAGGCACGTCAAATTCTTGTGTGACTACAAAAATGGTGAATAATTCAAGTGGAAACAAAAGTGTCACAGAACAGCAACAACTTCTTCCAAACCAATAAAAACAGTATTGATATTAGCAGTAGTATTCATTCACCAAGAGTTAAACATACCTGAAACGCTCACAAACCACGTTACACGACTGTATAGTGTGACTTCTTCTTAAATACGAATAAAGAAACACTGACATTTATGAGCACTACTTTAATTCATTCTGTTTTATACAGAAATGGCATAAGTGAGGGTACCAGTGTAGTGTGATTCAATGTTGATTCAGTCAACATTGAATCTGCTCTTCTTTGGCCTGTCAATGTGATCAATGAGAAGATGCTATGTATGATTCATAATTTTATTTTTCGAATAGAGCTTAGATAAGTAAGTATTAAACTGTGAATTCTTCAAAATGTTATATAAACATGCGAAAGTCTGAAAAATGGCAAACAGACTGATACGTCTTCAGATGAGAGGAATTCTTTTGTTTAAAATAAATTTATATAAATGTTTTACTAACGTTTTAGAAAGATGTAGTGATTTAATGCTATTAGTTATCATGATGCTGTCAGCGAGTTCCGCATTACCATATATATATATATATATATATATATATACATAGAGAGAGAGAAAGAAAGAAAGAAGGAGAGTTTGTGTTCTTTCTTAATGCCATGCATACACGATGAAATGAAATGTGCTCAGTAATGAAAGTGTCGTGAAAAGGAGTTATTCTTATTCTCAGACATTTGGCTTACATGTTTATGTGTCATTTCAGTAGTGATTACTTTGTGTATTCTGAAGCCCAATGTCAACCCCCAATGTTTGAATCATCACATGTCAAAAATTGAAAAAAACGTTTATTCTTTCAGGTGTTTGTGCCTTTTTTAACTGACATTTCTTCAAACGTATCATGGATTACACACCACCACCACTACCACCGCCGCCACCTGATTTATAAGCACTCCTTTCTCCTCTTTGACATACCTTATTATTCCATACAACCGGTTCCCTTTGATTAGTTTGAATGAAGGAAGAAAGAACATATTTGCAGGATAATATTAGCTCATTTAATTTCTTAGAATCTCTTCATCTGCATACATCCTAACCAATACCAGAATATAACAGTCACACAATCCCTGAGCATACTTCTTCTTACAACGATTTCTGAGTACAGATATAAAAAGTTTAGGTAACATAATTCCAAAAATGAACTTGAGTAAAGGACTAACTATTTATAAAATATAATTAAACAAGAGTTCAAATTTGGCACAGAAACAAGGTTTGACTACAAATAGAATACAAAATGGAAAAACAGTATAAATTTATGCGTAATGTGATGGAAAGTTCAAGAGGGTAGGAGTGGAAAGTAAAAATAGAATTATTACAGACAAAAAATTCAGCAAATTTGGAAACGTAATAGTGACTTCAACTCAGTAAGTGAAAATCGAGCCTAGGTAAAGTGTTACGAAATAGAACTAACTACAAGAACTCACAAACAAAACAATTACAGTAACCAGGGTAATGAGAGATTAGTCATGCTATCTTCCTGAATACAAAGTTTGGGTTGATATCTTTTGGTATCAGTGGCTTCTCACAACGACATAGCCAAGGTTTTCTTTGTGTAGTGATTATTTTGAAAACCTGACTAATGTTCACTGCATGTCCCGTGTTAATTAGGCGTCTGGCTATTGCACTTGAAAACACTTTACTGACTTTCAAACGAAGACTTTTAGGGATATGCTCAAAAAATCTAAAAGACGCTTTTCTCTCAGTCCTCTCCACTGTACCTGCTGCATCAAATGCAGGTGAATCGGTAAATACAGTTGAAGTTGACATGAGCAGGAAGCTGATTTGCTTTTTACTGAGTCAACGGCCATACCGTCTTGTAAAGTGGAGTGATCCTGGCAGCGGGAAATATTCTTTTCAATGCAACTTTCATTCTTTCATCGGTTCTCATGGATACTTCTTACCCTTTGTACTCTGGACAGATAAAAACTGGTTTATTTTCAACTACCTCGGGTTTCGGTGAAGCTGTTTTTTTTTGGCTTCCAAAATTTTGATGTGAACTTTCGGCGGTATCTATTCTCATCAAGGTTCTTTTCGATAACTGTGATTTCTTCTGCAGTCTTATCTTCTGAACATAACGCTCTAGCTCTGCTAAAGAGCGTTTTTACCAGGCTCCTTCTTCTGATGAAAGCAAAAGTAGGCCTAGGGAAATGGAAACTCCGCACCATATTCTAGGCTGCCTGACAAGGCTGCTTAGATTACAGAGGAAATGAGAAGAATGTCAGGCATGTATAACAGCAAGATGAAACGGGGGTTGAAACCTCTAAATTTATAACTGAAGATTCGGTAATCCACCGCAATCATCCAGACGACAACCACGATCGCTTTGAGACGTTACCAACAGAGTGGAAGTCTGTCATTCAGTAAGAATCAACCTCTTCCTCAGCACAATTCAACTGAAAAGGTAGGAGTGTTACAATGCTACAAACACCGTAGACACAGTGAAGAAGAAAGAGGACTTCTGCATACAACTGCTAGCAGTAACGGACGAAATGGTAGTCAGATGTCGACATCTAAATTGTAATGAATGATATAAGTGCAGACCAAACTTAGAGTAGACAACACAAGAACAAAATTCATCTTAAGTTGAGAGACATTCAGTGAAATTATTTGAAGACTTCTACACCCTTAGTGATTTTACGATTGAAGGTAGCGTGCACAGACACAAGGATATCCACAAGGTGATGTGAGTTTCAGTAGATGGATAAACTGGAAATCAGTTCGACTTCATGTCAATGAAAAGAAAGCGAAGACGCAGTCTATCGGACACACGGTAGAGAGAAGGAACACATAGAAGTTCAAACTACTATCTAATGCAGGATGAATTCATTCCAATTTCAATGAAGACAAGCAACGTATGAATTACAGATATGAAGATAGAAATTAGTTTCGCGTGAATATAAGCATCATGAATAAACAAATACCACTCTCCAGATGTCTTTTTTTAAACTTTTATAGCAAACAGTTTCACCATCTCAAATTGTTTTCATACAAAACCTGAAGTCAAACGTTTTACTACCATCTCCTTGAACATGTTGATTATTTAAGTAGGGAAGGATTCATAGTCAAATGACAGGCTTCAAACGTTGTATAACTTATCTTTTTACTTCTTTTCAGTGACTACAGTCATTTTAGTAGAATCTAGGAGTATATTATTACACCACTAGAAAGCAGATATTGTGTACAATGCTTCAACTCTATGATGAAATTTTCAATCATTCTATCATCTTTTAATATCCAGAATGGTTTCACTGTTTAGGAGTACTGTGAGTAGAAAACTCTCGCTTAAGCTCTTCAAGGTGTCAGGATTCTGTATGTAT